GTGCATAATATACTCACCTTCGTCCCACATTTGGCCAATCAAGTGCTGATCTATTTTTATAGTCCACTGCGATATACCAGGAGTTACGTCCCTTTTTGGGTTTACAAGACGAATTCTTATGCAAATAATGACCCTTGACCTCTATCTCGAAATATTGTGGTATTCATGTATCTGGTTATGGGCACATGCGCCTGTAACGTGGAAAATAGTTTAAAAATACACCAAGCTATAACTAAGTATATGTCTAAAAAGTCTGTTACGTCCATGTTAGTAAGCGAGATTATCAAATAACTGGTCTGATTCCGATTTCTAACTCAGGGACAAATAACTCACGTGAAACCGATTCTCTTTCAGTAGATATAATAATACCAAGGTGAAAAACGGGTTGGGTTAAAAAATAAATGGGATCAAAGTTCACTACTCTGAACTCCGTCAACCAGTGGCAATACTCACTAATTTTGCTAGGTAGACAATTGAGTAGACAATCTTCCTTTATAATTCTCCTGAGATTGATTTGAAGATAAATTAGCTTGAGTATATTTTTAGTCCAAATGCTTCATCAATTTACACATTTGGATAATGTTTTATTTTTAAGTCTTTGTAAAACAAAAATCGCATCCATAGTAAAAAAATAACCCCGAGCGTCATTGCTCCAATCTATTTTCATTAAAGTTCGGCAATTGGCACTGATCATCATAGTAAACAATTTTTCTAAACAACTAATTAACCATGCATTATGCAAGAGCTAAATATGTCTATTGCAGGTCTTTCTTTAGGCCTGACTATTATCTAAATTATTAATTAGACGTTAATTAACTTATCCAGACCATAATCAACTCTCGATGCCATCGGATGCCTACGATATTTAATAGATTCAAATACGTATTATGGTGGGTGCGGTTACCGTAAAACTGGATAATCGAGCCTTTGTCTAATATTGTAACAACGATAGTAATGACGACCTAGGCTAGCCTATAATTCTATCGCTAGTAGGTAGGCTATTTGACTGTAATTTTCAGCATATTCTTTTTTCAGTAGCTAGTTTTGAGCTATTATAGCAAGAACTGTCAGTTCTTTATCTAATCTTACATAAGGCCGCTTGTTGTCTCCTTTTTTTGTTGTCTCCCTTTTTTTGCAGATTTTCCGGCGTGGTTCTCCCTTGTCAGTGATACAGGATGGAGGGGCTGACAAGGAAAGCTGTCTAGTCGTTCGGATGGGTCGAAAAACCGAGGTCCCGTGTACACATTGGCGTGCACGTAAACGTAAAAGATCCCTTGGCAGTTGGAATTCGATATAAAAGTAGGCCGTAGTGCCGCTGTTCGGGCAAAATTTCCCTCATAGCACACTGTATGGCGTATGCCAGTCTTCATTAGCCCAGGTTAGGAGCAGAACAGTAGGACGTTAAACTCCATTTCATTTCATTTCTCCCTTTTTTGTACACAGATACTATAATGCCTTTAGAGCAACACAAAGGGTACTTGAAAAAATTAATTAAGAGGTTTTTTTTTTATAAACATTCAAAATCTTCATATTTGACTAGAATATCATTTTATATATTATCTATACTACGATCCCTATCCAACTACAAATTTCTATTTCTGTTATATATTTGTTTAATTCATCGAATGCTTCCCCATCATCGAAGTTATCACGCTTCAAAAGGGATTCTACATCTCCGTTAATATTACTGCTGAGCGGCCGATCTGACCTCAGTTATCATGACAGGGAGCACAGCAGTTGGCTACTGGGTGGTATTGTGTTACTAAATACAATATAAGGCGGTTTAATCAGGTGATTTATTTTGTATATTGACAGTATGATGTATTATACACAACTTTATATTTATGTGATTTTTAAATACATGTTTTAGACAAAAGTATGGATATTCAGTAAAAAAGATTAAATTTCGTTATCCTTAATGATTCATTGGGCAGTCTGGAATCAATTAATCAGAAGTCGGACTCCCGCCCTGGTCTGATCATCCAGATTTGTATAGCCTATTAGAAGTCACTGACTAAGAGCAGCGGCCAAGACTAGCATTCGGGCCATTTGCGTTCGGGTGCTGGTTCAGACTGTAGTCGCAATCATAGTCTGCATCCGAAGGTCGCCCAGGTGAACGTGCAATACTAATATCGTTAGTTCGCTCCAAGGAAAGTATGACGTTAAACGCCATCTCGGATAGGTGACGCATGGCAGGTGCTGTCAGAACGGAGCCCGAGGTAGCTGTCAGAACTGATGCCTATGCTGACTCTCGAGGTTCCAGTCGTTGCTAGGGCCTGGGGTTATTGCCGGTGCAGGTCAACCCCGCCATTGGTTCTCTACAGAATGTGAATACATTGACAACTGCGAAGACTATGTCTGTATATATTCTGGTTTATTTTTACTATTAAAAATATGGAAAGTGAAATAATGATTCTTTACTCTATAAGTCATTATATTAACTCAGTCACACTTTCCTACTATGAGTGAATTCATTGGAATTTTCTCCCGGGTCCTCGGTTCCTGTAGCAACTAGTGTTACACTTTTAGGTCTTTTAGTTAGGTTCTTAATGACAACACTGGTTTAAACTTCATATAATACTTGTATTCTTCTTTATGTATACAAAACTTAATACTTCGTAATTAGCTTGTGTTGTGGGAGCTATGGTAATAGCAATTTTATACAATTGCCTATATTGCATTATAACCCAGGCCACAGGTAGTGACTAATGACTTCTACCGTGGCCGTTGGTCGTGTCAGACCAGTGCCAGTGTTGACCATCTGGGGGTCATAATCTGATAAGGTGTTAAGTGACATGTTCCTGAATAATTTCAATTGTGTAACACTAGGCTCTATCGGCTACCCTTGACGGCTACAATTATATATAAGACAGTTGTGCCACTGTCCAGGTAAACTAGGTTCTATCTACTACCCTTGACAGTTTGAATTCGATATAAGGGTAGGCAGTATGTCCAGGAAAAATATCTCTCATAACACACTCACTATACAGCGTCTACCAGTCTTCATTAGCCCAGTCGATGCAAAACAATGAACGTTAAAGCCCATTTCATTTCTATCGGCTACATAGATTCGTCAAAATTATCGGCCTAGTCCATCAGCAAGAGAGCAAACGTACAAATAAAGTTTAGAACAAGATTAATGAGAGGTTAAATTTACCTAACGTCGATGAGTATCTTTAATCTACTGGACAACGACAAAGGGTCATGCAGTTAACATACTACAAGCTGCGCCAATAATAAAATAATAATTATTTATGGTATAACACATCTTAATACCAAGCAGCAAGAGACAGATCATAGAACAATAGTGAAATATAGAACAAAACTATGTGATAGTGATAGTGGGGGCTAAATTACCTAACATCAATGAGTATATATAATCTACTATAAGCCAAGATGTAACATACTTCAATCTCCTTTAATATTACAATGAATTAATAGTAATAATAATAACACAAATTCATATTACAGTAGGCGGGGGTGGGGTGGATGGTCGAATGGTTAGCACGTGCGCGTTGTATCATAAGGCCTGTCATTGAGTCAACTGGCGTGGTTCCGAATCCCCGGTTATACGTGACAAGGAGTAGGGTTGCCTGTCCAACCTCGTGGGTTTTGTCCGTGTCCTCCGGTTTCCTCCCACTGCTAAAAACCCCTACGCGCAAGCGAATTATTGAAATAAAATTAAACCATATGTTAGTCCCGAAATGACCTGGTTTGTGTCGAGTGGACGTTAAACCCTATCTCTCTCTCTCTCTCTCTCTCTCTCTCTCTCTCTCTCATATTACAGTATTTAAGAAAAAAGTTTTAACAACTGACTTTGTGCATTAATTGGCTTAAAATACTGAGCGCCATGGAAAACGCATCACTTGTTTTCCCCAAATATTTTATTACTAGGTGGTTTTGTATGTATAATATTATGCAATACTATGAACTGTTGTTTCACACAATGCTCTCAAACGCAAAAAATATCGGCCCGTGTGCAAAAAAAAAATTGCACGAGATGCACATGAAAAACCCAATATTCACGAGCAGCATTGTGTGTGAGCCCTTTAAAAGCATGTTTTCAACTTAATGTGCAGTACATGAACTGTGAAACGTCAATCTGTCGTAATTTGTTGATGGACGTGTGAAGGAATCGAGCTAGAAATGCCGAGACTTACTAAAAATCAACGGAATGAAGCCATGGGAATGTCCAGGGCTGGCATATCTACACGTGCTATTGCCAGATACTTCAATTCTCATCAGTCCACTATTGTAAGGTTGGTGGAACGTGTTCGAGTTACTGGATCAACACGTGACCGTCAACGTCCTGGTCCACAACGCGTTACAACCCAGGCTCAAGACCGCTACATCCGGATCACTCATCTGCGTGACAGATTCCACCCAGCGACTCGAACAGGTGCAGCAGTCGTCGGAAGACAAGGACCAGTAAGTGCCAACACCGTAAGACGTCGTCTAAGAGAAGTAGGACTCCGTGCACGACGACCTTATGTTGGAGCTATTCTCAGGGATCATCACCGTCAGCGGCGTTTGATATGGGCTCAAGGACACCAGACATGGAGAAGAGTAGACTGGCAGAGTGTGCTCTTCAGTGATGAGAGGCGCGTTCATCTTTATCACGCTGATGGCCGTCAACGTTTTTGGAGACGTCTTGGAGCAAGACTGCTGCGTCTTCGAAACGAATCGATGGGGTGGGGGAAGTGTAATGGTGTGGGGAGGTTTCACATTTCATCACCGGACCGCCGTACACATTTGCAGGGGTCGCGTTAATGCTGTAGCCTACCGTGATGATGTCTTGCAACCAATTGTTGTTCCGATGTTTCGAGCGCACCCACAACTTCAGCACTCCCAACAGGATCATGCACGTCCGCATACCACCCGTTTTAGTATGGACTACCTGGCTGCTAACAACATCAATGTCTTGGACTGGCCAGAAATGTCTCCGGACATGGCACCGATAGAACATGTCTGGGATGAGATTGGACGCCGTCTGTATCGGAGACCACAGATGCACACCATTGCTGCTTTAGAAGCTGCTCTTGTCCAAGAATGGAACAATTTGTCCCAGGCCTTCTTTCAAACATTGGTAAATTCCATGCGACGTCGCTGCACAGCGTGCGTAAGAGCCCATGGAGGACACACGCGCTACTGACATCTGTGTTGTACTTTTTGGTTTTGACCCCTCTGACTTGGTACCGTTGATTACAGATTAAACATCCATAAGTGTACAAATGTGTTGTTATTGATGTGTTCCCATTTGAATATTGTTCACAATAAGAAGCAAAATAAATAAGATATGCGTTTTCCATGGCGCTCAGTATATATAACTGACTTTGTGCTTTGGCTTAAAATATATAATTGGCTTTTATTCGGTTGCCTGTTAACTTTATATATTGTACTTACGGATCCAACTTGTATCAATATTACTAAACTAAGATAATGTACAATGTTTTACACAAGATTAGAGGCCATTATTTTGATCAAATAACAATTTGTCCCAGGCCTTCTTTCAAACATTGGTAAATTCCATGCGACGTCGCTGCACAGCGTGCGTAAGAGCCCATGGAGGACACACGCGCTACTGACATCTGTGTTGTACTTTTTGGTTTTGACCCCTCTGACTTGGTACCGTTGATTACAGATTAAACATCCATAAGTGTACAAATGTGTTGTTATTGATGTGTTCCCATTTGAATATTGTTCACAATAAGAAGCAAAATAAATAAGATATGCGTTTTCCATGGCGCTCAGTATATATAACTGACTTTGTGCTTTGGCTTAAAATATATAATTGGCTTTTATTCGGTTGCCTGTTAACTTTATATATTGTACTTACGGATCCAACTTGTATCAATATTACTAAACTAAGATAATGTACAATGTTTTACACAAGATTAGAGGCCATTATTTTGATCAATTTATTTGTGCCAGACACAGTATAACACTAATTATCCACCACTGCTGTACTCGCGGATTGGACCATTCACACTATTAATAAAAATATACAATATGATGTTTTACATACGATGAAATGAAATGGGGTTTAACGTCCTACTGTTCTGCTCCGAACTGGGCTAATGAAGACGGACATACGCCATACAGTGTGCTACGAGGAGAATTTTGCCAGGGCAGCGGCACTACGGACTTCTCTTTTATCACATTCCAACTGTCAAGGGATCTTTTACGTCACGCCAATGTGTACACGGGATCTCTTTTTTTCGTCCCATCCGAAAGACTAGACAGCTGTCCCTGTCAGGCCCTCCGTCCTGCATCACTGACAAGAGATACCCACGCCGGAAAATCTGGATAAACTTTCTCGGCCAATGCAGGATCGAACACCCGACCTCCAGGCTAGCGAGCCAGCGTCTAACCCACATAGCCACCGCGACCCCCTTTACATAAGAGTATAGGCCATTAGTTTGATCAATGAATTTATGCCATTTAATATTTTAAGTTGTTGTTAAAACACATTGCATAAAACACTAAAAAGTAAAAAATACCAAAATATGTTATAAAAGTATATACATTGTAATATGATGTTTTACATAAGATTAGAGGCGATTCGTTTGGTCAATGTATTTATGCAATTTTAATATTTTAAGTTGTTGTTAAAACACATTGCATAAAACCAGTAAAAAGTAAAAAAAAAATACCAAAATAAATTATATGATAGCTTAGACGATACGAAAATGGGCATTTAGTTAAAATAAAATGAGAACTCAAAAAGCTATAAAATAAAATTAAACCAATAAAATATCAAAACAAATCTTTAGATCTAGTCCAACTATTAGAACAATGATTTAGCGTTCGTTTTAGCTGTAGATTTATATTTGGACCATCTATATAATTTTAAAACAAATAATCGTTTGGGCTGTGTATTGTCTGTTATTGACTTGGGAATGATCTGGAAATCTACAAATGACCTTTGTTCTGTTATGGTAGCTTCCATAGTGTACTCACATATCGAACATAAAATAATGTACAATACAGTGTTTGAGGTAAGATAAAAGACCATTATTTTGGGGAATTAATTTATACCATATTACTAAAATATATTTTTATTATAGCTAAAATTACAAGTAAAACTACAATTGCTAAAAACAAGAAATACAAGAAATAAAAAAGTAAAAAAAACTAAACATCTAAGCAATGTTAACACCATACACAATCGTACACGATCTAACCAATCGCAATTTATGTTTTAGATCTTGTCCACCATTAAAAGTATCATGACCAAATTTAGAAAAACATAAATTGTAGACCAGGCTTAACTGGCATTCAGTGATTGAAAAACACATATTAATGTTATCGCATAACGATAAGGGGATACTTGTTAAAACCCCGTGCTTTTAGAATAAAACCAGTGATTGTTTCCCATAGAAATAACTCTGCTCTGTTAACAGGCTTTACACCGCACCAGTTAGCCGCATAGCCGCGTTTTCTCAACCCAAAAACATTAATTGTGCGAGTTCTTGTGTTTGATTTACAACTGCATTGAACAGTTAAAAATACATATGTATCAAAATATTGCTTCAAATCCTTCTCAAAACATTGTATTCGCCAGGAAATACCCCAAGGTATAAACAAATCAATTAAAAGGAGTCATGTTTGTGTCACGTGTCTTGGCTGTCGCCGTACCAAACAACCGGTGTGAAGCCGACGGAAAATTCATTGCATATAAAAGACGATGTTGTTTTAATAGCAGTTTATTTATCATAAATATGGAAGCCTAATTAAAATCTCGGATTATCTACTGCCCAGAAACTGTCTCTCACTTTTTCCTAGTTCACTCACCATCAAGTTTATCAATATATACACCAAGCGCTTCCCAACGCTGAGAAATCAGACAATCTTCGCGTGCAACCTTTGAGGTCACTCGAGCAGACAGTCACTTAGTGACACCCTTTCACGTTTGTCCCGTGCGTGCCACATGAGTGTTTTTCAAGGAATCCAGTATTCTTCCATGCTTTTATGCCAAACCTTTATTGGAAATAACTACCCGATAAATACTTTTGCGGGAAAGTATCTTTAACAGAACATATGGACGTACTGTATGGACCAATTCTACCTATAATGGTTGTCTTCCTTGGCACGATGGATAGCGAGACATGTGTGGTGATTGATATAGACCAGGAACCTCGAGCATACCAATTGTCGGAGCCTTAGGTAGGCTGTTTTCGAAGAGTGTCGCCCCAAGGGAGAAGAAGAAAAACAAGATGAGTTGCGATTGGGGACCAGATCTTGGTCCAAACAATGGTGAATAGATCAGGCGATTACGCATGTATTTTCTATTTACAGATGCACATACATGACACAAGAGCCTTCATAAAAAGCAATCGGGTTGAATCACAATAAATATTTTCAATTCTGTTTTTACCAAGTTGTCATCAAGAGGGTGAATATAAATTCATCTTTTGTTACAATATATACATCCAGTAAATTTTCAGCAACATATTCTTCTAAAACACCTTTAAGAACTTCAGTACATTTCGCAGGTGTGGCCCCGGTCTCACCTGTAATAAGTGCACAAAATATAAACGTCAGCTACTGATGATGTTGCAGCAGAATGAGGTTGGTTCAGAACAAGAATGCAACAATATATTTTGTCGGCATGTCCGAGAGAAGGGGTGACACAATAAGCACGGGTCGCCGGGCATTGTGAGGTTGGAATGGGCGAGGGTCGTTTGACGTATTAAGAAAGAAGATCCCAATCAGACATAGACCTACTAACTTCCCGCTTAACAATCCAATCAAACATTTTCCATGATATACTACATGACCCATCGATGAACAAAGGGGCATTTAAACAATCAAAGTGTAAAGAATCGATGTTCTGTCAGGGTTTCTGTTTTGCCATCTGACATTCGACAACCCGACTTTAAAATTTCGAGGCACTATCTCGGCCAACACCGGTACCCAGGCCTGGACCTCTTGATTAGTAGGCCAGCGTCTTACTCCCAAGCCGCATATGACAAAAATCATGAACCGCGAAAATTTCACTTTCCATCGTTTCAAAGTGAAAAGAACCGAGAATTAACTTACCTGAACCTAGAACTGGTAATGTTATAGATGTATATCCCTGTGCATCAGCTGTGGCTAGTATCAGACTGTAAAGTCCTCGTAGATTGGATAACCAATCATCAATGACATCTGCTGAGGGATTCGGGGGAATTATCGCCTGATACACTTCACTGAATTGTAGATCTCCAGGTTTGCAGGAATAAACCTGCCAGTCCTTAAAACCATCAGTATCTCGAACTACGAGCTTCAATGATTTGACGTATTCTACGCCACCTTTCTCCCGAAGTCGTTTGGCAATAATACCTTCTGTTTCTGCTTTCCCATAATTACTGGTGATAATGACGTCGGATGGAACATCAACGATGTCTTCTTGGCGTAAGTGTACAATTAAACCATTGGATAATTTATGTGGTGGGTATGCTATTGCAGCAGTGTTGGATTCTACAAAAATGGAAAGAAAAACTGAGACTTTTGCGTGTACGCGAGTGTATACAAGGGACCTCAGTTTTTCGTCCTACCCGAACGACTAGAGAGCTGTCCTTGTCAGGTCCTCAGTCCTGCACCACTGATAAGGGGAAACCACGTCGGAAAATCTTGATGAACCTTCTCGGCCAATGCAGGGATCGAACACGCGACCTCCAGGCTAGCGAGCCAGTGTCTTACCCACTTAGACACCGTGGCTCCGGACAGCTAAGAAACATGGTAACATAATAAATGAAATGAAATGGGGTTAAACTTCCTACGTTTCTGTCCCTACTGGGCATACAGTGTGTTATGGGGGAGTTTTGTCCGGACAGTGGCGCTGCGGCGTACTCTTATATCGCATTCCAACTGTCAGGGGTAGCAGATATAACCTTCTTTGACTAGACAGTGGCCAACTCTTATATCTAATTTCAACCGTCAAGGGTAGCCGATAGAGCTTAGTCAAGGTTATTTTACGTGCACACCAACGTGTACAGAGTGGATCTAGACCTAAATATACATGACCTATGTTAAACGTCTGGTGTATATCGTAGTTATATTATGGGTAATAAACCTATTTGACCTATAAAAAGTCTTGTAGGAAGAATTCCATCCCTGATATATTATACTGCATTTAAGTCATATGGTGATAGGTGATATGACAGCGGACGAGCTGGAGAGAATAAACAGTACATAACCTTATAATTTTAACTCCCTGGGTCCATTTTACGTAAATATTGAGACCCGCCAAGAGTCTAAGCAAAAGATCATTAACTTAAGAAGTTGCAGGATAACATTTTGGTATGAGTGATGGAGATTTTACTATGCTTGGGGGGACTCGATGGCTCAATGTCTAAGAAGCTGGCTCATTAACCAGGCGATAGGGATTCGACACCGGTGTTATACAAGAAAGTTCCCAGAGATTTACCAGGGTGGTTTCTCTTAGTCAGTGGGGTAGGACGGATGGGACGAAAACTCGGGCTACAGAGAATACGTTGCCGTACACGTGACATATGGAATGGGAAAGAAGAGTTGACCGTAGCGCCGGTGTCCGGTCACAAATGTCCCCCACAACACACTTCCTTTTCCCGGGTGGTACCCCATTTCAATTCATTCTTTTACGCTTCATTCTGACAACGATACACATCAACAGAAATCTGGATGAACTTACCTTCACCATCTTTTGTTTTGTACACCGCATCTTTAGTTTCATCAACCTCCCCATCTGTTGATGACTCCTCACTCTCATAACTTTTGGAAGCGGTACTTGTAGAGCTACATGCCGCCGATAAACATCTGCATAATTTTCCAAATGAATTATCTTCTGTGGTAACGATGTTGGCTTGGCGAAGATTCGAGGATTTGTTATTCTTGATGGAACTGACCAGGACTTCTATGCATTTGTTAATAGGTCCTAAAATGATTAAAATTTGGAGATTTGATCTCAATTTCAAGTTGTAATTTCGGGATTACCTGTTATATCTGTTTATTTGTCGACGTAGTTGCCTTGGTTACAGAGGTGAACGATCGTCACGGTTATCATGACACTCATACACCTGTGATAACCCTGTTAAAAATTATTAGCAGAGGCGCTCAACAGGGGGTTTAAGCTTAGCCCAGATAAGCAAACTGGCCGATTTGTTTGCCGAGTGGGTCGGTTTTTTCGGGAAAATGGGCCGTTTGCCGGAGTTTCTTACACATTCAACCAAATCAAAATGAGGCCTACAAATCAATATGCAACCGAGTCATTTGAAAATAATTACACAGTGTTATACTTGCTAACAAGTTTTCGACCTAACTTGGGGTAATAATTGCTTTTCTAATGCTGAGTAGGTTGATTTGTTGATGGCGCACTCCCCTAGGTAATATGTTTGTACCCCCCGAGTATACATGAGTATAGGTTCGTAAAACACGCCTCATGGTTTATATCAAACCGAGGTCCACTTTGGCAACGTTATTTTTCTCCCCCTTGGGCGGACCCAATAGACAGTATGGCTCGCAGATTAAATTAGTAAAAAACAAACTACCTAATAGATTTTAGTATTCGCAACATATTAGTAAACATTTCAATACCTGTATTTGCAACAGGAAATGTTATGGATTTGTATCCCTTCTCATCAGCTGTAGACAGTATGAATTGATAAAGATGTTGAAGTTTCAACAACCAATCATCCATGACATCAGTTGAAGGATTCGAGGGAATTATCGCCTGATATACTTCATTAAATTGTAGATATCCCGGTTTCACGGGATACATCCGCCATTCTTTAAGACCACCTCTCCTTCTTAGTAACTTGTCCAAAGACTCTGCATATTTCTCTCCGCCTTTCTCCCGAAGTCTTTTACCAATACGCCCTTCATTGTGAGAGGTTCCATACTTATAACAAACAAGTATGTTAGCATGAATGTCAACCACGTCTTCCTGGTAAACAAAAACTACAACGCCATTTATTAACTTCTTTTGGAAGAGGGTGTCTTGATTCCGGACTGGCCTTCTGTGATGTCTTTTTCCTAAAATCATAAACATAATTACATGATAATTCATAGATTCATTAATTACAAACTCCTTTGCCCGTCGGCGCGCACTAAACGGCACAATTGGGCAGTAACTATACATGTACATAAGGTAGGGTAATGCAGTATTTAGTACAATTATGTTCATTGGACGCAATCATGGGCGCCCCATAAAGCCGAGTGTCTTTGGTTGGGCTGCCCCCCACGCCCGCGCTTTGCTACGGGCCTGATTAGGGTCTAATAGAAATACAATTTTGCTGTCAATACTTCAACACTTCTCCGTAGCCAAAACTAGGGCTGTGTTGCCACATCACGTGATCTACCTTCAACATGACCTTACCTGATCTCCTGCCAGCTTGGTCACGATCTGCACCCTTTCTGTCTGTGGTCTTTAGTATAGGTATATCGAAAATGTCGTTCACACTTCTTTTGACTGTGTTCATGTCGATTATTTTGCCAACAGCACTACCGATACCTGTGAAGACTTCTGCAACATCTTCGGCACTAAAACTTTCTTTGGACTGTGGAGCTGACGCCGAGACGCCCGAATAACTACCAGTGGCCTTTCTATATGACTGTAGATCGTGTCGCAGTTTCTTTAAGGACGAATCTTCATTCGACACTATATTGACTTGTTTCAAATGATTCACCTTGTGTTCAAGTAGAGCATACATGGCAATCTCGACACACTGGTCTGTTGGCCCACTGGCAAAATCTACAAATAATTCGTAAACATACATTACATACCTGGGCAACAATAAAGACGTCTTTGAGTACTACGCCAGTAGCTGACATCAAATAATTCGTAAACATGCATTACATATCTGGGCAACAACAAACGCGTCTTTAGTACATTCTATTTATAATTTTGTTTCGTTGATGTTTCGGATGTTTAGACTACATCTATCCTTTCTGTGTTCTACTAGTGAGAGTTCTGTAACAAAGGCATACTATAACACTGTGAAAGGGGGTCGGTGCCTATATTAAATGCTCTGCTAAAATGCTTTTCGATTGATTACATCATGTATAAAGTACAATGTACAAAGTCCTAATACCGGTAATGATAAAGTCAAAACACCTCTAAGGCTATTATATATAAATAAGGACCATAAAGTGTTATATTAGAAGACAATAAAGGAGAAGGATAGATAATGTCTTGACCTCATTGCTGAATTTTAACGTGTTTCAGTTGCATAAAGGTAAATAATTTAGGACATCAAATTACAGAAATGTCATCAACTAAAGGTGTTTTTTTAACCTCACGCCTTAAAATAGACTACCATACCTGCGCCAATAACAGGTAAGGTTATGGTGCCGTATTCTTCTTTATTGGCTTTCTTTAAAATCCTGCAATATAGCTGTTTAAGTTTTGATGTCCATGCCGTAATACCGCCAGTAAGGGCGGGTTGAACCTTTGCTTGATATACACATTTAAATGGCAAAGTACCACCCAACGTTTCATACACTTTCCAGTCGCTTAGTGTCGTTTCCCTCTTGTACAGTTCATCTAAGGAAGTTTTATAACCAGGTCCAGCCCTTTTTGTTATTCGTTTAGCGATTTCACCTGCTGCTTTACCAGACCCATAATTGCTACACACGAGGACATCAGCAGGCACGTCTAACAAATCACCAGCATAGACAGCAATGTACAAACCATTCGGGAGTTTTTGATAACATAAACGATTCGGTTTTGTTCGCGTGCTGGGTAAGCTGATCGTTAAACCTAAAATGAATATTATTATATACATGGAATAATACAATGGCCTGACAGAGATACATTATCTGCTGAAGCATTATGCTACTCGAGTGGGTAGTTCATTTGGTTTGCACAATGTGTCAGGGTATAAAATAAGAAAAGATAAATACGCCCGCAGAACAGCTTTATCTCGAAAAAGGAGACCCAGACGGCAGGAGACAAATTTGAAATCAATAGGATTTATCAGATGAACTTCATACTCTCCTTCATACCAAATTTGAAAAATAAATCTGTAAAAAACGTAGCCTGTATCGTGTTAACAAGGAGTTCCAAAAAGGGGATAATACAGTAACGGAAGGTCACGGAACGCTGAATATCGATACGTTTCAGCCATTCATGACCCCAATGCTTCACACCAAATATGAAAAACATCCGCTAAAAGTAGTATGTATCATGGTTACATAGAACACGATATATTGAAAAACTATCGGGTTGTATTTAGAAAGCGTGGGTATTAGAATCCCGTGTAATAAATTTGGTCTTCTGTCAAGTGAATAGTAAACTAGATTTCCTTGTTACATTTCCATATGTGAGGGGTTTTAAAGTATGTAATGGGGAATAAAAGGTTTATTTGTACATGTGTATATTGTTTTCTTATTACTAGTGTAATTTAGATTGCTCGTTCAGATGAACATACTATACCACCTAATATACACATCTGCAGTGTAAGGGTGGGCAAATCAGAGAGAAAAGAATACTATTCTCCCAACTGCAGGCCACCATTCCACACCCATATAACAAAGACGATCTGGATACCTTGACTCATAAGTGTTAATGGTTGGGTAGGCACAATTGAAGTATATGCGAACCACTGAATGACGACTGGCCACAATTTTGGAAATACCCTGTAACTTTTCAGTTTCTTGGATGGTTCAATTCCCCACTGGGAAGTGATCAATTTCCCAATTCCTACCCGTGTTCATTATTACGGGACTAGGAGAAGTACACAGACCCATTATCGACGGTTGTATTGTCAGATAGCAATACACAAACTTTTAGATATTAATCTAATCTTAAGAATACCTCCCTCTCCCCAACACTCTGCTGACGATTTGACCCACTGGAAGTCGTTAAATGTGCCCCATAGTTCAAGCGGTCTTAGAAAACCTTACTCACCCGGTTCTATTTTCTCGAGGGCTTGAATAAACCTGGTTTCTTTAAGACATTCTAAGAACTTTCTGTAAGATCCCGGACCACACTTCAACAAAACATTAAGTATCTCTCGAGCCACCGCTTTACTACCATCTTGTTTGTGCTTTTCAATTTTTTCTCGGTCCTCCTCATCTATGACATTTTTAGCGAACAAAGAATCCAGTATGTCGTTGGGTCTGCTGGCCAGGATATTCAATAAGAATGTGAAGTTGTTCTGTATTTTCGTGTATTCTGGTAGAACTCCTCGAGCAGGGACATGTTTTTCATCACCCCCTGCAGCCATCCTTGTAAACAGTACTAACAATAGAGATTAAAGGCTTATTCAGATTCGAGCAAGATACATGACTTAGAATTACAGATCTGACGTCATCCTTTGACCGCTGTCGAAATTGAGTCTTACAGTTTTTTATTTTTATTTTAGAAACAATATTTTATTTCAGTTGGATGAAAAGGGGCCAGGAAACAGGTATAGCCTATATCACCCCTCTCCCCATACAATAAACAGACCTGCTATGTACATATTATGACATGATGGGGGGAAGAAATCGTATAAAAAAAATCAATTGTATACAATATTTATAACAAAAGAAAAAAGAAGAAGTGATTTTTAGAAACATAATTAAGAATTGATCAGAAAAGAAAACAATGGGGTTAGGGTTGGGTGAATCATATAAAGACAATAAATTGTATATACTATTTAAAACAAAAGAAAAAAGAAGAAATGCTATTTTATAATATATTTAAGAATTGATCAGAAAAATAATATATCTTAAATATTGAAACGTCTGTTGACATCAAAGTATTTATGTACTATTTTAAAGATGAAATTAGTTGCAGTCTGATTATTTATGCGAAATAGAAGTGATTTAATTGATTGTTGGTGTAATGGTGAAAGTTTTAATGTGTTTATTCGTGTATCGGAATGCAAAACAAAGGACACCAGCGGAGAAAATGTAAAGAATCTACAAATCGGTGACCGCAGCTGCATTACTAATCCTCGGAGATATGTCGTAAAAATTTATGTCCGTTTAGGTCGCTACCAGGAAGTCGCAATCTGCTATGTGTGATCTGGTTGGGGTTTTTTTTTGCCGAGTAAAAATTGGAATAATAAGCCCATTTTTTAATTTTTGTTTGAAGGTAGAAAAAGACGGAGAAATTCTTATTTTGGTATCAAATTTGTCCCATTCTTTTGATGAAGAGGGTCCGAAAGAGTTAAAAAAAATTGTTGTTCTGCATTGGTATTCTGCAAGATTTTCACAGTTTACCCGATACAACCCAATATTACCAATACTACCTGAATACGACCTCTGTATCACCACATACTACCCCATACTACAACATAATGATGCATAATGGGCATATCATTTGATTTTTTTCAAAAATAGAGAGTTATATCGCGGAAAATGTACTTCAAATGTGATACCGATGTCTGGCTGTTCCATTTGCCTCCCTATATCACCCAAAACAAGCAAATAATAACCTAATACTACCAAATACTTATCAAATACTACCAAATACTACTCAATATTATCAAATAACAACATTATTTTGTCAAATAACAGCACATTAGTATAATTACTGCAACGAATAATCGATAATTTGCAGAAAATTCAAATGTGTATGCAGTTATCTCCCTTTTCAACCGATAAATAATTTTTAGATTGCTATTCAGATTAATCATCTTCTTTGGCTTTGCAGTTGGTTTCCAAGACGACAAACTATTTCAACCCATCCATGGGTATCGTCAAGCAGTGACTATAACAAACATTTATTACAGATCAGATGTCCCCGATATAGTTATTGTTTTCATTGAGGTCATATCATTCAATATCACAATTTTATCAACACATATACACAAGAATAGACAAGTATTATAGTTTCAAAAGAAGCTAAAAAAAATTTAACAAAGGTCTAAAAATACATCTCTCTCTCTCTCTCTCTCTCTCTCTCTCTCTCTCAACTAATGTCAACTATTTAGTTATTGCATATTTACTTAATGGTCGATATTATCTTTTAAAATTAACGAAATTTCACATGTTCATTACAAGTTTGTAATGCTCTACTCAACAGAGATGTAAATGTTTAAGCAGATTAGTGAAAGGGAGACTTTACGTCAAAATTGTTTATGGCCATCTTATATAATAATACATATACAGTAGTTAGCGATTTTTGATTTAACGATATATAATGATTAAAATATACACAACAAAATACTTCTTTTTCTTGTTTTAACTTCGTTGTTTTGGAAATCAACTGCAAAGCCAAAGAAGCTGATTAACCTGAGTAACAATCTAAAATCTATTTATCGATTGTAAAGGGAGATAACTGGGTAAACATTAATATATAACATGGTCATCATTTATGTCAACATAATCACATTTTCCCCAATTGTAGACATTGGACCCCCCCCCCCATATCTCGAAAACGCCCCCTCAAACGCCTGATCACCACCCAGATTCGGAATCTAAGCAAAAAAATGGTCTAGAAAAACTTGGTCTCATAAATCCACAGCTCGGGTGGCGATTCCCCGCCCCTACATCCACCGGACCATACACAGTGGATTTTCATTATGGCTTAAATGTTTGAAGAAACGCATTTGTGCTCCCAAGTGACGATTTTGTTATGAAATGGTCGTTTAAACAGTCAGCTTTATCGGTTGGCGAAAATAATATGTTGTCGTCATAGGGGAAGTAATTTGACTACATGTCTATCTTGTCTTTTTCATAAATGACTTAACAAGTTGCCACC